CTCAAAACCAGACAAAACTTTTACATTTACAACAACTCCAAACCCCACCTTCTTTTCAGTATACTATACACCTACTGTATGTACACATCAGCACACTGTCTTTAATCAAAGGCCTTTCTGAAGACCGCTTTTACTATGGAAACCATTGACCATATCCTTGTCAACATCCAGTCAAAACAGAAGAATGGAAAATGAGAAAGTAGTTTTGACATCTCAGCTGTACTTCCTGAATCTGTGATAAGCGCTAAATATAACTCTACTATGTACCAATAAGCAATATGTATTTGTATGTATATACACACACAGTTTTATATATGCATCTGTCAAATCTGTCTGTGTATAGTTTGGTAGAATTAGTGTTAAAACTGTTTACATTCAGGGTTATTTAAGTGACGAGAAGCATCGTCCTCTCCTTAAATATGGCATGAGTCAAAGGTCTACAACATCTATCATGTCAAGATAAATCTTCACATTGACTTGAAGGGTCTGCAAGCTTCTGAAAAGCTAGAGTGTAAAGGGTTTAATCAAATTTCTCAGACTAATTGGGAAGAATGGCTACTAGATACTCAAAAACAGTAGAAACATTTTTTACCTAAACAGTCAAAAACCAACCACCAAAGAACATCATAAATACTCCCTCAACCTTTAATATACGAGTCAAGCAGGGTGCATTAAACCTTTACGGAACCTTGAATTATTCACAAAGGGTATAAAACCCAGTCCTTCATTTTCAGTAGTCTCATAGAACCGCCTTATCCAAGAAAATCTTTGCTCATTTCAACCTTTGCCAAGTTGTTTTCAAGTCATCTCAATACATAAATTATTCCGTAGCTTAATGAACCTGATAGGCCATGGACGGCAAATCACAAAACTGATGACAACAATAGCAAGATTATGGCATAAATCTAAAGCAGCAAGTCAATAAATAGCTAGCAGAGTTCAACACATCAACCTGTACTGCAAGAGAGCTTTTGCCCATATCCCTGGCTTGTGTTTATGGGATGTTGCTACATCCGTACACCACTGCCTCGAAGTTATATTTATTTGATAAGAGGTTCAGTCCTTTTCTAGAGATGAGGTAGTAGAAACCAACAGATTTGCTACTGTAGATTTGTGTTATTTCAACATTAAAGACATACATCACAGGTTCCATAAGTGGTGTTAACACGCGTCTCATTTGTTTCGTATCATGCAAGAATGGATAGCATGCAAAATGCTAATAAAAAAAGGAGTTGGAAAAACTAAACCTTGAATTGTTTCTCTCCAAATAGTGTAATCTTGGCTCAGTATTTGGACTTATAACGGCAATCCATTTTTTTTAATGGCAGGCAATTACCTAGGACCAAGGCTCCATGACTGTCATGGTAACCCAGAAAAGCCTTGCAACTCAAAATGTTAGTTTACTCTGATTAAAGTAATTTATTTGGACTCGTTTGCCTTCTTTGTTGTCCGTCCCAACTAATCCACTATTAAATTGACTCATCCTCAAAAACAAAGATGAAAATTAAGATTAATTTCTGATGACCAATTACAACAAATTGAACTCATAAAAATCTATTGTTACTCCTGTGAAGCATATGTCTGGACTTGGGGGTTAACTGTATGTGGCTATTCATGTTGATCACAGTTGGTTTGCAAGTTCATCAAAAGATTCTACATATAGACGGGTTAGCTGACGTCACTAAAATATGCATGCGTCAAAGGGGCAGAAGTCCGTGTGTTATGATTCTGGACGGTCAGATAGCTAGCAACAATGACAAGAAGTTGCCATGTGGGGAATTGTAGGTGGCTTGTTGTATCTTGTTATTGATACCACGTCTTGTTTTGACTTCATGTAATAATAATAATAATAATAATAATAATAATAATAAGCCAGTTAGCAGACGCTTTTATCCAAAGCGACTTACAGTCATGTGTGCATACATTTTTACGTATGGGTGGTCCCGGGGACGCTATGTCTACGCTAATATGGCAAAAACTAGTTAGTTAGCTAACCAACAAATAACAATGTATTTGAGAGACAAGTGCTCATTGTGCACATTTGTTTTCAATAAAGATTTGGAGAGGAAATAGTTTCCATGTTGTCAACAATCCTTTAATACTAAGCCAACCCTGCTTGTTTTGCTCCACGGTTGCACACGCATCAGTTTTGTTGCTAAACACACCACCCATCTTTATACAATGTACATTTAAAAGTAGAACTTAATTACATTCACACCAATTAGTGGTCACCATCCTTCTATCCACCTGCAAGACTAAAGGAAATGTCACAGAGATTCTGAAATGCTACGTTGTCCTTTTTAAACATTTTATTTAATTTTTTGACCTGAAAAGGAGACTGTATGACCAGCCTTGCCTGAGGAAAGTTCTTGTTTTTTGCATTTCTTGTTATATTAGTGAAGTTTTAGCTACAAACTCTTAATAAAAGAGATTATTCCTATGTGTTCACTGTAGGCCGAAATATAACTTGATACACACATACACACACGTAGCTCAAATGCTTGTGTAAATATCTAATTTACATCTAACCTACTCCCGATTTACATGAATGTCTGCAATGCGTGTGGATCTCAAGTTAGGATTTTGGTCCAGTCTCAAGAATGATGCATTAAGAGTTAGAAAAAAAACATCTTACTGTCTGTATCATAAAGATTTCCAAGAACTGTACTAATACAACCTGTCTAATGACAGTAGTAAAACAAGTACTGTAATATAAGCCTGATACAAGGACCATAGGGGCTTGATCCAACATTCTGGAATGTACTGAGGTATAACTGTTGGTAGGGTGAGTAGTAGCATACATATACTTTGTCCAAATTCACAGCCAGACGCCATGTTGCTGCTCCTAAGCATTCTATTTACGATGAGTATGTGGATTCTAGTTCCTAGAATTAGGTAGGTAAACTTGGTGTACAATTCTGAGATTTCCATAAACAGTTATTGGTCGGTATTACCAAGGAGGAGCAAATATGGCGTTGGTGGAATTATGTGAAGTCGTCTAAGAGCATCATGATGTTGAAACTGCAATGGACTATCTATGCTTCTGCATATTGTACACTTCTCCACAGAATTTCCTTAGTGTTATGTCCCACATGGCAAAAACCTGTTTGAGACTCATCAATTTACTGCATTGATATACTGTACTATAAAGCTGCACTCTAACATATGATCAGGAAAAGATAAATAAATAAAATCATTCATTTTTGGAATACACAGTTAACATAAAAAAGAAAAACGTTTAAGAATGAACATTTCCACCTGTCCCTTGTCTTTACCTTCTGTCAAGTAGGGACAGTCATCCCTAGATGTAACGTGACTACCTGAAGTTTGTTGTGCTCAGATTCAAATTGAAAGATTAAAAAATATCCAGAAGGCTCAAACTGGTCAATAAATTCTATGGAGATCGGTTAAGGTATCAGTCAAATGGTAAGACATCCCAAAAATGTCTGTTTGCGGATGTACAAACTATATTTCCCCTTTTTCAGATGATACAAGAGGCATGGAAATAAGTAGGCTATATATCGGTCTGAGAGAGGTATGTTTGTGTATAGATATCTAACATAGTATATACATTTCTGATAAAGATAAGAGATATGCATTCTGACAAGTATTGCAGCCCCACACAAACATTATCCTGAGTTGTGGTGAAGGCTACGAGTGAACACAAGTAACAAAATGTTCCAGTCGCACTACACGTGACATATGAGTGGTTGTAATCTGACGTGCTTTTGGATAGTTTAGTTCTGAGGTTTGGTTGGTAACTAAGAAGGTGGTGAAATTGTGGACAGGGGAATCTGTTCTCCCAACAAACAAACAAACAAACGTTACATTAAGATATTCAGTAGTAGACAATAGTTGCGTGCATCCTTGCAACAGCATATTCTTTCTGCTGCAGTTTGGTCTATTCAATCTCAGGTGTGCATTTGCTAAACAGTGACAGGGAAAGATATTCTGTCCACCAGTGCTTGACTTTAAGATCACAAAGTACAATAATAAATAGTAAATAATTATTATAATAATTCCCTATTTATATTAAATATTAATAGGGAGTTTAAAATACAAATAAGGCTTGATTCTACATAACAAATAACATGTTGAGGGCTGAGCATGCATCATGCTTATGACCCAAACAAATACATTTGTTTGGTGTCTCCAACCCTGGTGTCTCCAACCTGGGTGATAAAGGTCTGCAGGCTTTTGTTTCAGCCCAGCATTAGCACACAATACAGCTAATCACTTGCCCATCAAGGCCTTGTTTATATTGAACCAGGTGTCTTAGTGCTGGGCTAGAATAAGAGCACTACATCCTGTACTTCTCCAGGACATGGGTTGGAGACCGCTGGTCTAGGTGCTGTAATAACTAGGGTACTGCTTGAGGACTGTAAGCCAAGCATAACTCCATCTGTGCAGACATTATTTGGGCTTGGTCCAATTGCAATTTTGCCAACACATCACAGATCACATTAGTTAATGAGCAAAAATGTGATTATGTTGGCACCGTATCTAAAGCAGTGTTTCAGGTTGAACCGTTAAAATATTTTATTGTATAGTATAGTATAGTATAGTATAAAGGGCAGCACAATCATAAAAAAAACCAAAACATATTTAAAATATGGAGTGTTTCAAACAATGATGTCGGGATATTGTCAAGTGGCAAGCTAAAGAGTTAAAAGAGAGACACTTTAGTGTCCGATTGACTGAAACAGCCACAGTTGGCTTTATAACTATTTAAAAACAATTTTAAAAGACCTAAAATGAATAGGTCAGATTGATTCAGAGGATTGATCAGAGTAAATATAAGTGCTTTTGGAATAAATCAACACACAAAAACAGGTTATTTGCGTACTATATAGACTCAGTCACTGCCACTGTCTGACAAATGCAAACGATTACCTGGTCTGGGTAAAAACATCACATATCATCAACAAGTACTGCATCATCAACAAGTACCTTGGCAGCAGCTAATGGGCATCCTAATAAAATCTCTTCCGGTCGTTACTTCACTTGTCTGGTGAGAGGCCAGTGCTGAGCAGCTCCCTGCCGTTTTCTCTGGGCACAGACACAGACTGTCTCCCCTCCCACAGAGACTCCTGGGGGTCCAGGGGCGCATCCAGAGCTTCTTTGCCCTCGGGGGCCTCCGTACCCTCCAGTTCCTCCATGCGGCTCATCAGCTTCAGCTTCTTCTTGGGCGGGTGTTTCAGGGTCCCCAGGCGCTCCTTGACTTTATACTCCAGAGTGCTGTGAGGGATCCCGTAGACGGTCTGAGCCTTGGACACGCTCATCTTCCCCCCCATCACCACTTCTATAGCCTCCTCTAGCAGCTCTGTGTTGTACTGACGGTATCTTCCTCTCTTCTTCCTCGGCTGCTTGTTGCAGAGGTCTGCCTCGGGGTCAGAGGTAGGGTACTGCCCCCCAGAAGCAGGGCGGTCTGCGTTGGATGAACCCCAATACTCCCCATCTCTTCCAGGCCCGTCCAGACCTCCACTGCTTCCCCGGCGACCGTGTTTGGGCAGGATGGACCTCAGCCTCTTCCCCAGGCTGTTCTCACAGTGGGGGCTAGGGAGGCTGTAGGGATCAGAGCTCAGAGAGCCCCAGGAGAGGTCCACCCCCAGGCCTCGCACCCGGGGGATTTTGAGGTCGACGGGCGGGGAGAGAGAAAGGGAGAGCCCCTGGTCTCTCCGGGCCTCCTGGAGGATTGCCTTCCCACAGGAGGGGGACTTGGTGAAGAGCCCCACGGCCTCCAGCAGGCTTGGTAGGTCTTTGAGGTGGTCCCCGGCTCCGCTGTTGGCCCGGAGCTTCAAGAGGGCCCCAAAGTGGGTCTTGGAGGCCCAGGATGGAGAGCCATACCTGGAGAGAGAGAGGTGGTCGAAGGGTCTGGAGGTGTGGTTCTGGTTGGGAGACAACTCTGTGTCGGAATCCTGGTTCACTTCCTGTTTGATGTGCAGCGCATGACCGAGAGGCGAGGTGGGTTTTAAAGGGGCGGAGTGACCGAAATTCTCCCTCCTCCTACCATCCTGCAGGCTCCTCATAGGCAGCCCGGCCTGTCCGTCAGCTCTCAGGGAACGCCTGATTGGATGGAAGGAAATTTGGTGTAAGCAGAGCTTGCACAGTGCTTTATTCTTTCTCTCTCTAGGGGAGGATGGGTTGGGGAAGGGAGGATGTTGGCCACTCCTTTATTGGATGATCTTGCTTGGGTAACATCACTATCTTGCTTAGATAAAAAAAAAAAAAGTCAATGTGTGTGTGTGTTCCTTTTAAGAACAAAAAAGGCTCAAGTTTGGGAATTTGTTTATTTTGTTGTTTGTTTTAGCTTTGCATTTCTTTTTTTTGTTTACAAATTATGCGTCAGTCAACATAACAATAATAAAAAATTAAAAGGATATGCAGGGCAAAGAAATTAAATCCAAAGAAAAATTCAAAACATAAGAGATAAATGTGTCCAGCCCTGTCCAGATAGGGCAGGAGAGGGAGGGCAATGTTGTTCATTGCAGTAAGGCAGTCTGGCATTTAATAGCAGAGCAGGGCAGGATGAGTGTGTTACCAAATGACTAATGCTAACGTATAGCCCTTAGCGAGTGACGTTACCACTGAACAAGCACAGCAATAAAAGAGTAAGCCATCAGCATGGGATGATGTAGGACTTCACATAAACGCTCACAATATCAACCTGACAGAAATACTGTTACTGTAAGAAAACATCTGAAATACTTATCTGCAAGGTTAACACCCAACAAGGCACTTACACACAGTACTGTTATGTGTGATAGAACATAGCAAATCAGCAGAGCGTATTGATTGAAAATGCTCACATGAAATTCATGGGTGATTGATTAATTAGTGGTAAGGCAATTTGTGATGAGGGGCCATAATCACAGACACAGAGGAAAATAAAAGAAGTGTGCCCTTTACAAAACTGCCGCTAGAGTCGTAAGCCAAGATCATATTATGACTTGAAAGGAGTCTGCTCTTTGCACTTCTAAATATTCCCTCCACCTCCGACCAGTTGCCATCTCAGCTTTGAAATATCATATCAAAGATGGGCTGCGTAAGGGGGGTATATAGAGTGATAGATACTAGATGTACATCTGTGGATATCTGCATTGAGTACAGATCTGTACGTTCTGAACGAGATCAACATCACAAAACAGCTTGATTCTTGATAACTGTTTCAGATCACATCTCCCTTCGCTTGCTCTCTCCCTCTCTTCTGTTCACTCAATCACTCTTCTCTCGCTCTTGTTCCACTCCTAAAGAGAGGGGGGCAGCTAGAGAGCGGAGCAACTGGCACTTAATTAATCCAAATTAAAATTTCATTGCGGCATGTTCCATTTCAAATGCACTAACGTCCATGCCACGGCGTGATGATATCACGAGGCATTGCCCTCAGCCAAAATACAACACTGATTTTACTGGATTAAAGATTCAAATGATTTTTTAGCTTGAAATGAAGGCTTGGTCAATGTAAATCGTTGAACATGATGTTGTGTAGTTAATAGAATGGGAAGCTCTATTGGTTAGGGGTTTATTTTGATTATTTCACTTATTTCTTCAATCCATTGGAATCTTAACTACATTTTATTGTGCATTTAAAAAGGAATCCAATAATAATAATAATAATAATAATGTTGTTTCCTGATACCAAAGCATCTCCTTCAAGATTTTTTTTCTTGAAGATGCACATGTGAAATCACTTTAATGATGTCACACAGTCAAATCAACCTGCATAGGCTGGAGCTGTCCAGGACCAGGAGCTCCTACCTGTAGTTATAAACTTTTGTTTGGACAGATTGGGGAGTTTGTTGTGGTAAAGCCCTACAAGAAGTAGAAACAGGTGACAGGAAGTCGGTCTTACCCTCTGAGAGTGGATGTCTGGGAAAGGTGAGAACTGTGGAGCGATGACATGCTGCTTCTGGCCCGTCCCTTTTTGAGTGACAGGTCCAGCACTCCATCTAGGGACAGGACATAAGGGTTAGTAACTTAGAAAGCAAGAGCCATTCTGTCAGGTGTGCACATAGAGATAGAGGACTCATATGTTTATCTGAGCCATTATATCAGCTGTGACAGCATGGGCAGCGCCATTGAGGCGATCTTCATTTTGAAGTAGCCAATTTTCTTCTTCACGATTGGCTGATCCCTCTTGATGACCCAGTTGGACATGACTCCCAACAGGGTCATCAGGAGGGATCAGCCAATGAAGTTGGAAGTCCCAACCAGTTGACTACATTAAAATGGTGGAAGCCCTCAATGGCACTGCTCATGCTAATACAGCCTTTTGGCCACTAGAGGCCTCTATCATTCTCTATGGGTGTGCAGTATTTGTGCAGTACAGTAGGGTAATGAATCTGTTGGTTACGGTCTTGTACCTTGTTCTGCAGGCTGTGGCAGCATCCTCTTGACAGTGAGGAAGAGGTTACTTTATATCAAATCTACTACCAGTACTAGTGTGTCTGCTTTTTCAGTGTAATACCAGTACTAGTGCGTCTGCTGCTTCAATGTAATACCAGTACTAGTGTGTCTGCTGGTTCAGTGTAATACCAGTACTAGTGTGTCTGCTGGTTCAGTGTAATACCAGTACTAGTGTGTCTGCTGGTTCAGTGTAATACCAGTACTAGTGCGTCTGCTTTTTCAGTGTAATACCAGTACTAGTGCGTCTGCTGGTTCAGTGTAATACCAGTACTAGTGTGTCTGCTGGTTCAGTGTAATACCAGAACTAGTGCGTCTGCTGGTTCAGTGTAATACCAGTACTAGTGCGTCTGCTGGTTCAGTGTAATACCAGAACTAGTGCGTCTGCTGGTTCAGTGTAATACCAGTACTAGTGTGACTGCTGGTTCAATGTAATACCAGTACTAGTGTGACTGCTGGTTCAACATAATACCAGAACTAGTGTGACTGCTGGTTCAATGTAATACCAGAACTAGTGTGACTGCTGGTTCAATGTAATACCAGAACTAGTGTGTCTGCTGGTTTTACCTTGTTCTACAGGCTGTGGCGGAGGCTTTTTGACAGTGAGGTCGAGAGGCGAGTCCTGGTCGGCCATAAGCAGCTTGGAGAGGACAGGGTTCTGGCTGGGCACGGAGGCTGTCACAGTAGCACCAAGGCTGGCAGCAGGGGGCAGCGAGGGGGGAGGTGGCAGGCTTTGATCTGGGTGGGGCTGGGGAGCAGGGCTGGGGGCAGAGGGGCCGTCCTGAGAAGAGGAGCTGCTTTTTGAGGTATATTCGGCAGCAAACTGGCGGATCATCCTCTGCATTATCGCCTGAGCCACTACTGGAATGTGCGGGTCCGAGAAGCTGGGGACATCTGAGGGAGGGAGAGGGGAAAATAATGTCAAAGATATCTGTAGAGATGGTTGACCCTCAGCCTGTGTGCGAGCGGAAGCTATCTCAACCATAGCAACAGTTTTATCAAATGTAACTATATCGGGGATTGGAAGTGATGCAGACAATTACATTGATGGAAGTTACAATCTATCTGCAATATTAAAGCTGATCTACCCCCTAAAAATAAAATAAATAATTTTAAAGAAGGAACACATATGGCCCACTTCAAGAAATAGCCTATTCCTGCTAGTATTTCAATACACAATCTTACAGAAAGTGTTGTAACACAAGGACACAGGAGGTGGTATGTAACAAACACTGTTCCTGTAAAGACCTACCTTTTTTGTAGAGGACTGCACTGAGGAATTCCTCAGCTTGTTTCTCAAGTCTGTTGATCTTAATCTGGTCTTTGACCAGCAGGGGTTTAGCCCCGCTCTCCAACCCCTGGTTGCTCAGGCCAACTAAGTGCTCCTGGGAGAAGAGAGAAACAGAAACACAGCTAAGTGATGGAGAAACAACGAATAGCACCGTCGCTACAGAAGTGACAGTCATTTATGCATTAAATGAATCAATTAAACAATCAATTTGACTTTGTTTTTACCAATCTAACTACAAAACAACACAATGGTAATAATTTATTTGAATGGTAAATGTATTGATAAACTTAGTAAATCAAAATGTAGCATAGCATAGGTCTATTCCCAATACAGGTGAATGCATAATATCCAATAAGAGTGTGTGCATGCATTTAGTTTGAGCTTGTTTTAGCTGATTTCATGGGGTTCCAGATGACAAACAGTCCCTTCCATTTAGGACTTATTTTATTGGCAACTGCTAGAAGAACATTATTTTATTGTACTGATCAACAACATTTGCATAAACGCAATCTCTTATTTTATAAAAGTGCGCGCTGTTCCTTTAAGAAAGTAGTGACGTCATTCCCAAGGAAGAATGTGGGTTTGCACTAGTTAACACAGCCAGCATATTTTGTCTTTTTTAAGGTAAGGGTTAGGAATAAGGTTAACAGTATTGATAAGGTTAGGTTTAAAATCACATTTTAAGAAGAGAAATTGTAGAAATAGGCGTGGTTATACTTTGTGGCTGTGGTAACTAGTTACGACCCAGAACGTGGCTATGGAATGTAGAGGAAACCAGACGGGAGGCGAGGGAGACGAGGAAGTTAAAGTTTTTGGTGATGAGGGAGTGAATGAATAAAGATTTTGCCGATAATCAGCATATTTTGTATTATGGTATCACAAACAAGGTACTAGGGTAGTGAATTAATTCAGCTGTAAGCTAGCAAGGAAAGTAAGCCTATAATTGAAGCTGGAAGCTACATGTATCGTCTTGCATTGTAAAAGTGTTCTAGCCTATATGGACATTGTTTCGCGAACAGTAATGAGCAGTTTCAACATTTCTACATGCCGTGTTGCATTATTCAAGTCTGTTAACTTCTGTGCAGCATGAGTGGGGAGAAGCCCAGACAGCTCTAGCAATGAATGAGTTAGCCAGCAGAGCCGAACCGCTTGCTTACTGAAGCATTAGGGTCGGACAGCATTCCTGTGTATATATACTGAAAAAATATATAAACGCAACATGTAAAGTGTTAGTCCCATGTTTTATGAGCTGAAATAAAAAGACACCAGTAATGTTCCATACGCACAAAAAGCTTATTTCTCTCAAATTGTGTTTGCAAATTTGTTTACATCCCTGTTAGTGAGCATTTCTCCTTTGCCAAGATAACCCATCCACCTGGCCGGTGTAGCATATTAAGAAGCTGATTAAACAGCATGATCATTACACAGGTGCACCTTGTGCTGGGACAATAAAAGGCCAATCTAAAATGTGCAGTTGTCACACAACACAAGGCCACAGATGTCTCAAGTTTTGAGGGAGCGTGCAATTGGCATGCTGATTACAGGCATGTCCACCAGAGCTGTTGCCGCCTCCAACGTCATTTTAGAGAATTTGGCAGTACGCCCAACCGGCCTCAACCACAGGCCATGTGTAACCATGTCAGCCCAGAACCTCCACATCCGGCTTCTTCACCTGTGGGATCGTAACTGACTTCAGAGGGCAAATGCTCACCTTCGATGGCCGCTGGCACGATGGAGAAATGCGTTCTTCACGGATTAATTCCGAGAGAGCGCGTGCAAGGCACGAGCGAGAGAGATTGCATTGACCCAGGTTTATTAATTAAAATAAATGTTGCAAAAATATACAGTGGGGAGAACAAGTATGATACACTGCCGATTTTGCAGGTTTTCCTACTTACAAAGCATGTAGAGGTCTGTAATTTTTATCATAGGTACACTTCAACTGTGAGAGACGGAATCTAAAACAAAAATCCAGAAAATCACATTGTATGATTTTTAAGTAATTAATTTGCATTTTATTGCATGACATAAGTATTTGATACATCAGAAAAGCAGAACTTAATATTTGGTACAGAAACCTTTGTTTGCAATTACAGAGATCATACGTTTCCTGTAGGTCTTGACCAGGTTTGCACACAATGCAGCAGGGATTTTGGCCCACTCCTCCATACAGACCTTCTCCAGATCCTTCAGGTTTCGGGGCTGTCGCTGGGCAATACGGACTTTCAGCTCCCTCCAAAGATTTTCTATTGGGTTCAGGTCTGGAGACTGGCTAGGCCACTCCAGGACCTTGAGATGCTTCTTACGGAGCCACTCCTTAGTTGCCCTGGCTGTGTGTTTTCGGGTCGTTGTCATGCTTGAAGACCCAGCCATGACCCATCTTCAATGCTCTTACTGAGGGAAGGAGGTTGTTGGCCAAGATCTCGCGATACATGGCCCCATCCGTCCTCCCCTCAATAAGGTGCAGTCGTCCTGTCCCCTTTGCAGAAAAGCATCCCCAAAGAATGATGTTTCCACCTCCATGCTTCACGGTTGGGAAGGTGTTCTTGGGGTTGTACTCATACTTCTTTTTCCTCCATACACGGCGAGTGGAGTTTAGACCAAAAAGCTCTATTTTTGTCTCATCAGACCACATGACCTTCTCCCATTCCTCCTCTGGATCATCCACATGGTCATTGGCAAACTTCAGACGGGCCTGGATATGTGCTGGCTTGAGCAGGGGGACCTTGCGTGCGCTGCAGGATTTTAATCCATGACGGCGTAGTGTGTTACTAATGGTTTTCTTTGAGACTGTGGTCCCAGCTCTCTTCAGGTCATTGACCAGGTCTTGCCGTGTAGTTCTGGGCTGATCCCTCACCTTCCTCATGATCATTGATGCCCCACGAGGTGAGATCTTGCATGGAGCCCCAGACCGAGGGTGAATGACCATCTTGAACTTCTTCAATTTTCTAAGAATTGCGCCAACAGTTGTTGCCTTCTCACCAAGCTGCTTGCCTATTGTCCTGTAGCCCATCCCAGCCTTGTGCAGGTCTACAATTTTATCCCTGATGTCCTTACACAGCTCTCTGGTCTTGGCCATTGTGGAGAGGTTGGAGTCTGTTTGATTGAGTGTGTGGACAGGTGTCTTTCATACAGGTAACGAGTTCAAACAGGTGCAGTTAATACAGGTAATGAGTGGAGAACAGGAGGGCTTCTTAAAGAAAAACTAACAGGTCTGTGAGAGCCGGAATTCTTTCTGGTTGGTAGGTGATCAAATACTTATGTCATGCAATAAAATGCAAATTAATTACTTAAAAATCATACAATGTGATTTTCTGGATTTTTGTTTTAGATTTGTTTTACATGCTTTGTAAGTAGGAAAACCTGCAAAATCGGCAGTGTATCAAATACTTGTTCTCCCCACTGTATATACACATTGTGACATGTGAAATGGAAACGGCAGCTATAGGAGAAATGTTCAAAGGACCGAAAATGTGTTTTTCGTTCAACAGGGGTGGATATTTATTTTGTCAAACTTCCTTTTTTTGACAAATGATGGAAACTTTTTCGTGAGGCACGTGATGTCATCACATAAATATAAAGCTCCACTCCCCATTTAATTCTAAATACATACTGCTTGCTAAATCTATTTTCAACTATAAAAATTGTTTCTTTGCAGGACAAGGATTGTCTTGACATTAAAGAATGCCTGAATTTATTCACCTTGCTTTTCTTGTTGACTGGATGCAAGTTTCACCATCTAATTATTTCATGAGATTTATTAGAATATGGCATAAAAGCTTGGACACACCTACTAATTTTTCTTTATTTTTACAATGTTTTACATGGTAGAATAATAGTGAAGACATCACAACTCTGAAATAACACATATGGAATCATGTAGTAAACAAAAAAGTGTTAAACAAATCAAAATCTATTTTATTTTTGAGATTCTTCAAATAGCCACCCTTTGCCTTGATGACAGCTTTGCACACTCTTGGCATTCTCTCAACCAGCTTCATGAGGTAGTCACCTGGAATGCATTTCAATTAACAGGTGTGCCTTGTTAAAAGTTAATTTGTGGAATTTCTTTCCTTCTTATTGCGTTTCAGCCAATCAGTTGTGTTGTGACAAGGTAGGGGGGGTATACAGAAGATAGCCCTACTTGGTAAAAGACCAAGTCCATATTATGGCAAGAACAAGTCAAATAAGGGAAAGAGAAACAACAGTCCATCATTACTTTAAGACATGAAGGTCAATACGGAACATTTCAAGAACTTTTAAAGTTTCTTCAAGTGCAGTCGCAAAAACCATCATGCGCTATGATGAAACTGGCTCTCATGAGGACCGCCACAGGAATGGAAGACCCAGAGTTACCTTTGCTGCAGACGATAAGTTCATTAGAGTTACCAGCCTCAGGAATTGCAGCCCAAATAAATGCTTCACAGAGTTCAAGTAACAGACACAGCTCAACATCAACTGTTTAGAGGAGACTGTGTGAATCAGGCCTTCATGGTCGAATTGCTGCAAAGAAACCACTACTAAAGGACACCAATAAGAAGAAGAAGAGACTTGCTTGGGCCAAGAAACACGAGCAATGGACATTAAACCTGTGGAAATGTGTCCTTTGGTCTGGAGTCCAAATTGGAGATTTTTGGTTGAAACCGCTGTGTTTTTGTGAGACACGGTGTGGGTGAACGGATGATCTCTGCATGTGTAGTTCCCACCGTAACGCATGGAGGAGGTGGTGTTATGGTGTGGGGGTGCTTTGCTGGTGACAATGTCTGTGATTTATTTAGAATTCAAGTCACACTTAACCAGCATGGCTACCACAGCATTCTGCAGCGATACGCCATCCCATCTGCTTTGGGCTTAGTGGGACTATAATTTGTTTTTCAACAGGACAATGACCCAACACACCTCCAGGCTGTATAAGGGCTATTTTACCAAGAAGGAGAGTGATGGAGTGCTGCATCAGATGACCTGGCCTCCACAATCACCCGACCTCAACCCAATTGAGATGGTTTGGGATGAGTCGGACCGCAGAGTGAAGGAAAAGCAGCCAACAAGTGCTCAGCATATGTGGGAACTCCTTCAAGACAGTTGGAAAAGCAT